TAAGGGAGGCAAGAGTGGTGGAGGTGGCAGCGGGGGTGGTGGTGGTGAAGGTGGTGGAGGCGGTGGAGGTGGCGGAGGTGGCAGTGGGAGTGGTGGCGGGAGTGGGGGCTTCGGTGGCGGCGGTGGTGGCAGCAGTGGGAGTGGTGGTGGCGGTGGTGGTGGCAGTGGGAGTGGTGGCGGCGGCAGTGGTGGCGGTCGGGGTGGAGCTGTTCAGAGGGGAGGTTATGGCGGTGGCCAGAGGCAGCAGTGGCAGCTTCCGAGCGAGACCCCTATGCCCTTGCAGCTTTGTATAGAGGCTGCTGCTCTAGGTGCTAGTGAGTTTGCTCTCCTTGGTACTGCGCCTGCTAAGGCCTTACACACCTTCATGCTTGACTCAAGTGCTTCCCGCTGTTTCTTTCGCGACATTACCACACTCACTCCACTCCCTGTACCTGTTCCAGCCGGACTGGCTAACCCCTCAGGGGGCCCAGTTCTTGCACGTTCCACCACTATTCTCCCGTGTCCTGCGATTCCGTCTGGCTCACTGTCAGGTTTTCACCTCCCCTCATTCTCTATGAACTTAGTGAGTACCGCTGCCCTCTAGGATGCGATGGTCACTACCACCACTACTGGGAGTCTGCGTGTGGCGATCTGCACGTGTACACGGACGGGCCGTCACCTGGCCACGTTCACTCATCGACCTGTACACACTGACTACTGAGCCTCCTCAGGTAGCTGCGTCTGCTCAGGTGTCCGCGTCAGGTCCGGTAGCAGCCCCCTGCTTGTCTCACCTCCTGTCGCACCAGACTCTCCTCTGGCACCACCGCCTTGGTCACCCCTCCCTGCCACGCCTTCTTGGCATGCACTCCCGCCTCCTTGTTTCTGGTCTTCCCAGGTCTCCGCCTCCCCTCCCGCCCTCGCCTTCCCCGCCCTGCCTTCCTTGCATTGAGGGGCGGCAGCGCGCCGCTCCTCAGTCCTCCTCGTTTCCCCCGACGACCGCTCCCCTGCAGGCTCTCCGCATGGACGTGTGGGGCCCAGCCCGCGTCAGTGGACAGGGCCGCGAGCGCTACTTTCTGCTGGTTGTTGACGACTACACGCGTTACACCACGGTCTTCCCCTTGTGCAGCAAGGGTGAGGTCCCAGATGTCTTGATCCCTTGGATCCGCGCAGTCCGTCTCCAGCTCCGCGAGCGGTTCCGCCAGGACCTTCCTGTCCTACATCTACACTCTGACAGAGGTGGTGAGTTCTCCTCCGACCTCTTGTGGGACTTTTGTCGTGGAAAGGGTATCCTCTAGTCGTTCACGCTTCTGGCCACCCCGCAGCAAAATGGGGTTGCTGAGCGCCGCATTGGCTTAGTCATGGAGGTGGCTCGTACCTCCATGATCCATGCGGCTGCTCCCCATTTTCTGTGGCCGTTAGCGGTCTGATACGCTGCGCATCAGCTCAACCTCTGGCCCCGTGTCTCCTTGCCGGAGACCTCGCCTACACTGCGTTGGACGGGGAAGGTTGGCGATGCGTCGGTGTTCTGGGTCTGGGGCTCTCGTGCCTTTGTCCGCGATACTTCCGCGGACAAGCTCTCCTCCCATGCCATTCCCTGCGTCTTCCTTGGCTTTCCCCCTGACGCGCCTGGCTTGCAGTTTTACCACCCCACCTCGCGCCGTGTCCTGCCCTCTCAGGATGTCACGTTTGACAAGTCGGTCCTCTTTTACCGTCTCTTCCCCTATCGCACTGCCCCTCTCCTCCCCCCACCGCTCTTCCTCGCTCCAGGTCCCACTCCGGTAGACCCCCTCCCCCCTCAGGGTCTTGCTCTCTCAGGTGTGTCTCAGGTAGACCCACTCCCCCTGGCTGAGTCTGTCAAGGTCACTGTTAACTCTGGTGCTGCTGGGGGTGGTGCTGCTAGGGGTGTTGTGTCTGAGGGTGATGAGCCTGCGGGTGCTAAGCCCGAGGGTGCGGAGCCTGAGGGTGCTGAGACTAAGTGTGCGGAGCCTGGGGGTGCTGAGTCTGAGGGTGCAGAGTCTGAGGGTGCTGAGCCTAGGGCAACTGCGTCTGCCGGAGGTCCTGCGGGTGTCTCGCCACGACAATCTCGCCGGCGGGAGCCTCTCTCACCGCGGCAGCTGCACGAGTAGTTTGCTCGGCGCATACGCCTTAGGAGTGGCGCTTCAGGAGCTAGAGGCCCTGCCGCTGGAGGCACTGGAGCTGGAGGTGCTGTAGCTACTGGTCCTAGAGGTGCTAGAGTTACTGCTGGAGCTGGAGGTACCGGAGGTGCTGGAGCTGCTGGTCCTAGAGGTGCTCGTACTAGAGGTACTGGAGCTGCTGGAGCTGGTGGTGTTGGAGGCGCTGGAGCTGGAGACCCTGGAGCTAGAGGCAGTGGAGTTGGAGGCGCTGGAGCTGGAGGCACTGGAGCTGGTGACCCTGGAGCTGGAGGCTTTGGAGCTGGAGACCCTGGAGCTGGCGGCGCTGGCGCTAGAGGCGCTTAAGCTGGACGAGCTGGAGTTGGAGACCCTAGAGCTGGAGGCGCTGGAGCTGGAGGCGCTGGAGTTGGAGGCACTGGAGCTGGAGACCATGGAGCTGGAGGCACTAGAGCTGGAGACCCTGGAGCTGGAGGCGCTAGTGCTGGAGGCGTTGGAGCTGGAGGAGTAGGAGCTGGAGGCACTGGAGCTGGAGGCGCTGGAGCTGGAGGCGGTGGCGCTGGAGGTGTTGGAGCTGGAGGAGCTGAAGCTGGCGGCACTGGAGATGGAGGCGCTGGAGCTGGAGACCCTGGAGCTGGAGGTGCTGGTGTTGGGGGTGCTGGAGCTGGCGGTACTAGTGCTGGAGGCACTGTGCAGCGGCGACCGTTTTTCGTTCCGCCGCCCCCGTTGTCTCTGTCGCCACCTGGCTGGGTCCTTCGCCATGTTCTTAGTCTCCCGTCTTCTACTGGCCATACTCCTCGCTTACTGTGTCCACCGCCTCACCAGTCGCAGCCACAGTTGCAACCAGACTCCCCACTGCCTGCTCCTTCTCGTTACGCTGAGCAGAGAGACTCCCTTACAGAGCGTCGTGAGCCTGAGTCTCGTCCTGCCTCACTTGTTCGCGCTGTTTGCACTGGTCGTCGTGTTCCTCGTCCGCGTCCTCCTCCTGTCCCCGGCACGCACCATATGGCACTTCGTCCTTCCTCTGTTCCTTTGCGAGTTCCCTTGCCGTCTCCTCCTGCGTCCTCTCTTGCTGACGGTCCGGACCCTGAGTCTGACTTTGTTCGTGCTACCAGTCCTACTGTCACACGTCTTCTAGCCACTGTTGCCACTGACAATTTGTTTGAGTCTGCTGTTGCGTCTGCCCTAGTTGCTGAGCTTGTTGACTTTGCTGCTGCCTGTCGTCTCGACTACGCCGCTAGTCTTATCGCTGAGTCTGAGTCTGACTATCCTCCATCCGTCGGGGGTGAGTGTGCTCTTGGCACGGACATCCTTGAGGACAGGCAGGAGGACTTTGAGTGTCTTGCAGCTGCTGTACCTCATCTCGTGGCCATGCTGCTTGCACCTGAGGGAGACTCGGATGCACCAGACATCCCGACCCCGCGCTCTTACGCAGAAGCGATTACGGGTCCCTACTCCTCTCAGTGGCAGACAACCATGGATGCAGAGATTGGATCCTGGAAGTCCACATGCACCTACGTCGACGCAGTTCCCCCCTTCTGGGGCGAACATAGTCGATGGCATGTGGATTTTCAGAGTGAACACTGCTGCTATATTCAGCAAGGCACTTCAGTCTGGTGATCATCAGCGTTTCAGTACTGTTTTAGGCCTTGTGTCTACTTTGCCTCACTTGCTCACTGCGTGACTTTGCTTGTACTGTGATCTATATACATATACCTGCATGCTTACCCCCTACTAGGTTATGATCACTGTACTGTTTGTTCTCGTTTATATAATTCTGCATGTGAACTGGCCTTGTGGCCATTTGCTTGTGCTCATAGTGTGTGGTGACTTTGTGATCCATCCACTTCCCTTTCTCCCCCCATCCCCTTCCCTGCCTCCCCCCATCCCCTTCCCTTCTTCCCCCCATCCCCTTCCTTGCCTCCCCCCATAATCTCCCTCTCCATGTGTCCTTCCACTCCTTGCCCAGGTGTCCTTCCACTCCCTATCGCTGGCAGTTCCCCCCATTGCTCGTATTTCCCATGCTCGTCACCCTCGCTCATTGGAAAAATGCCCGTTGCAAGTGCGCGATAGCCTTTCTCATTATGTTCCGCCCACCCTCTCCCATTCCGTTCTGCCGCCATCTCTCATTCCTTCGCACCTTCCCTCATTCCTCTCTCTCCCTTCTCCCGCACTCTCTCTCTCTCTCTCTCTCTCTCTCTCTCTCTCTCTCTCTCTCTCTCTCTCTCTCCTTGCACCCGCACACACACACACTCTCTCTCTCCTGACACCCGCACTCCCTCTCTCTCACTCTCAGTCCTCTCGCACTCTCTCTCTCTCAGTCCTCTCGCACTCTCACCCTCCTTCCCCCCACCCTCTGCCCTGTTCCCCACCTGCCCTCCCAATCCCTGCCTTTCCCTCCCTGCCCTGCCCTTCCCTTCCCCATCCCTCCTCCACCCTTCCCTTCCTTTTCATGCCCTCCCCTTCCCCCTCACTCCTCACCTTCCGCCCTCTAGTTCCCATGCATGCGCACTCATCACTGTCACCCCATACATGCTTTCATCATGTGCCTCTGCTTGTATCCCCTTGCGGTTGTTCCCTTGCACCTCACACCACCTCCCCCATGTTTGTTCACACAATTCTTTCTTCCTACTCCACTCCCCTAATTTTCAGTGGTGAAGCAGAGGAGCAAGCTGAGGCGCAGCTAGTCGATGCTTTACACCATACCACTGCCTGTTTCTTGTGTGTTGTATGCAAGCATGATATGAGAATACTGATGGAGAAATCCATTCCAAAGGCACAGTATGTACTTTTGTTCCTGCAGAGCAAGATATTCTTCCAAGATGAATGGACACAAAGAGTGTCAGTAGGGTACATAGAGGCATGCTCCTAATACTTTTGATTGTACCTTTCTCAAGGCCTTGAAAAAAACATGAGGGGAACTGGTTTCTCTACGAGCATGTCATGTGATGATGGGCTGAGGCGGGCTGTAGTACCAGAAAAAGACTTCAGTGTAGTCACTGCAATAGCCATGGAGAGGGAGGGAATACTAGGGCTGGGGAGGGGGAACAAGAAAATACGCAAACAGGGGAGATAGCGAAGAGGAGGGGGAAGAGGGAAGCAAGGGGGGAAGGGAAAGGGGAAGCATGTCAGCTGAGGTGGAAGGAGGAGCACGTAAGGGGTAGGAGGGGAGAGGGGAAAGGGGAGAGGGAAGATATGGGAAATCAGGTAAGGAGGTGGGGCAAGCAGGGGAAAGTGGTCAGGAAGAGATGAGAAACAGAGAAAAGAGGGGAAGAGGAGGAACGGGGGAAGGGCGTGGCCGTCAGAGAGAAAGGAAGGAGAAGGGGGAGAGGGGGAGAGGGTGAGGGGCGAGACACACATGAGAGGTTGAGACATGCAGCAGTGGACAGCACTCCCCCCTCGAATTCCTTTCTCCTGCCCTCCTTCCCTGCCTCATGTGGGAGGAAGAAAACAGGTGGGGGAAAGGGAGGAAGGGGACAACCATGAGGGTTAGTGGTTGGAAAGGGGCGGGGGCAGGTGGAGGTTTGGCGAGAAGGGGAATAGGAACCAGAGCATAGGGCACAGAGCATAGGGCGCATAGCATAGGGTGCAGAGCATAGGGCGCAGAGCATAGGGCATAGAGAATAGGGCGCAGAGCGCAGGGCGCATAGTGCAGAGCGCAGTGGGCAGAACCCAGGGGGCGGAGCGCAAGGGGCAGAGCACATGGGGCGGAGGGGGCAGAGCGCAGGGGGCAGAGCGCAGAGCGCAGGGGTGCAGAGCACGTGTACCTGTCCTGGCGTGGTGGTGCCTCGTTCCAGCGCCCTCTCCACGCCCGCTCTTTGTCAAACTATATGTTTGTGTTCGCTCTAGGCTATAGTGGGTTAGCCTACAAGGGATACAATACTTTAGGGTTAGTACTTGTACCCAACTCATTCATAGTTCATTCATTCATGCACAGTTATTCTGACATGGTATTCAGAGCAGGAAACCTGTTAAGTTTTTAGAGCCCACCGATAGTTTCGCTCGTTCCTGCCCGAAGCGCCCTTGCGCTGTCCGGCCCTGCTTGCATAGTACAGCTACCCGCCGTCCAGCCGATTCGCAGGTTGTACCTTCGCGGCCAATCACGTCCCAGTAAAATGTCGTGCCCATCCAATGTCGTCACGAGCATTTCCTGTGTAAACCCGAAGTTCCCCCCGCAACGGACTTTTACTCTCTCCACCTTATCCCGTATGGCCAGCGGCGTTCCGTCAACTAAGCGTGCGTCTATCCCCGGTAAACACCGACTAAGTGCCAATTGCAGCTTCCGTGCAGTCGTGGTATTAACTAAGCAGTGACTTGCGCCTTCGTCTATAAAAATCTTCACTGCTGCTCCCTGTATTTTCCCGTGGATCAGTACTGGGCAATCCGTCGTTGTACCCTCCTTATTCATCCGAGCCCGATCAATAGCGTGAATCGGTACTGTGACTCGGTGAGGGTCGATGAGGTTGGGCGAGCAGGCAGTCTCGTCAGTAGTTGGCCCAACTTCTACTGACTGCTGGCGTTTCCCTGCCTCTGGGACTCCCTCTCCTGCTATGTTCCGTGGCGCCTCAGCTCCTCTGGGCATTCGCTCTTGCGATGGCCCAGCCGATTGCAAGCAAAGCAGCGCCCCTTAAACGGCGCGGCAGCTGCATTCGTCGCAACAGCGTGTACGGTGGCGTGCTCGATCGGTCCCCGATGACGATGTCCGTAGTAGGACCCCGGCCTCGGACGGCGCAAAATGTCGATTTTCTCGGCGAGCGCGAGGATCTCGTTAAAATTCGAGAGCATGCGTAGCATGATTTCATGCGAGATGTTCGGCTTCGGCCCTCCAGCGTAACGGTCTACCCGCTCCGCTTCATGCATGCAGCCGACTTGCTCGCATAATGCGAGAAAACCGCTCGTGTAGTCTTGAACTGATCCGAGCTGCCGCCAAGTACGTAGTCTTTGACGCGCCGAAATAGAAGCCGCGATCGGCTCAAAGCGCGCCCGAAGCCCTGCGCACCACACATCCCACGTGCTGTACTGGGCTGTCTCGCAAAATGAACTCCAGGTGACGGCTGGGCCCGTGGGCCCTTCCTCTTGCGACGGTGGCTCGTAGGCGCGTGGCGACGTCACGATGACTCGCCACCAGTCCATGGTGGGGCCCCTCAACAGCGAAACGGCGTAGCGAATCTTCGCTGCGTCCGACTCGACGTAATTCACATCGAAAAAAACGTACATCTTGAAGACCCGCGATTGAACCGTCGGACCTCCACGTTGGCTTGGATTGAAACAGGGCGAGCGCTGCGGCTTGAGTGGCATTGGTGCCATGGTGTCGTGGTTGCCGCTTGTTGCTGCAAACTCCACGTGCCGACGAGCTTCGCAAGGCTCACGCGGGCTTGGTGCGGCCCTATTTCTCTCCATGCCAAGCATTGAGTGAGCGGTGCCATCGCTGGCTACGCCTGAGCGTTATCCCACGCTGCTGTTCTGTGTCGGTGTGCCTGATGAGATGACGATCGGCTCCTCCGATTGTGAAGGTGGATTTGTTGGTGCTGGTGCATTCACCGTCGATTGCTGGCGAGCGAAGTCGCATTCCGCCGTGAGTGTCGCAATTTCGAGTGCCGAATCTTCGAGTTGGCACACGAGACGGTCGAACTGCTCTTGCGTCAGTGTCGCGAGATTAATTTCAGCCATGGCGGGGGTGTCGGTCAAGCTCAGCGAGAGCCTCTGCCGTGGCCGTGCGTGCTTACGAGAGAGCACATTGAGCGGCGGTGCTTGTTCGCTGAGAGATGTCTACCCCGGCTGATTGCAAGCAAAGCAGCGCCCCTTAAACGGTGCGGCAGCTGCATTCGTCGCAACAGCGTGTACGGTGGCGTGCTCGATCGGTCCCCAATGACGATGTCCGTAGTAGGACCCCGGCCTCGGACGGCGCAAAATGTCGATTTTCTCGGCGAGTGCGAGGATCTCGTTAAAATTCGAGAGCCTGCGTAGCATGATTTCGTGTGAGATGTTTGGCTTTAGCCCTCCAGCGTAACGGTCCACCCGCTCCGCTTCATGCATGCAGCCGACTTGCTCGCATAATGCGAGAAAACTGCTCGTGTAGTCTTGAACTGATCCGAGCTGCCGCCAGGTATGTAGTCTTTGACGCGCCGGAATAGAAGCCGCGATCGGCTCAAAGCGCGCCCGAAGCCCTGCGCACCACACATCCCACGTGCTGTACTGGGCTGTCTCACAAAATGAACTCCAGGTGACGGCTGGGCCCGTGGGCCCTTGCGACGGTGGCTCGTAGGCGCGTGGCGACGTCACGATGACTCGCCACCAGTCCATGGTGGGGCCCCTCAACTGCGAAACGGCGTAGCGAATCTTCGCTGCGTCCGACTCGACGTAATTCACATCGAAAAAAACGTACATCTTGAAGACCCACGATTGAACCGTCGGACCTCCACGTTGGCTTGGATTGAAACAGGGCGAGCGCTGCGGCTTGAGTGGCATTGGTGCCATGGTGTCGTGGTTGCCGCTTATTGCTGCAAACTCCACGTGCCGACGAGCTTCGCGAGGCTCACGCGGGCTTGGTGCGGCCCTATTTCTCTCCATGCTAAGCATTGAGTGAGCGGCGCCATCGCTGGCTACGCCTGAGCGTTATCCCACGCTGCTGTTCTGTGTCGGTGTGCCTGATGATATGATGATCGGCTCCTCCGATTTTGAAGGTGCATTTGTTGGTGCTGGTGCATTCACCGTCGATTGCTGGCGAGCGAAGTCGCATTCCGCCGTGAGTGTCGCAATTTCGAGTGCCGAATCTTCGAGTTGGCACACGAGACGGTCGAACAGCTCTTGCGTCAGTGTCGCGAGATTAATTTCAGCCATGGCGGGGGTGTCGGTCAAGCTCAGCGAGAGCCTCTGCTGTGAGAAGATTGACGAGAGAAATGAGTGAGAAAGGATTATTGCACTAGAAAGCATTGGGATACAAATAGAAAACCCTAACAGGGTTGTACTCACTACAGAGTACCCCACTGCAGACTAGAGAAACATAATATTCTGACACACCCCCATAGTCAAAGTGGGGTATGATCAGCACAAGAAGCAAAGCAAAGCAAGCTCAGGGTGGATCACAATGTCACCACACATTCTGAGCACAAGTACAAGAAGTAACAGTTTAAAGTTCACAATAAATAAGCAAAGCTAGAGGCTATCACAGAGGGCAAGTGAGGAGGAGGAGGCTGGACTAATAGGAGAGGAGAGAGGAGGCAACGGCGGAAGCTGCCGACACACGGGCAACAGGAGCGGCGCGCACTGTGGCTACCGGAGGCGCACCTCCGGACTACAGGAGTAACTGGCTCCGCGGCTAAGACGAGCGGCAGGAGCAACGGACCCACGGGCGACTGGCGCAGCGGCATCACTGGGCTACCGGAAGCGCACCTCCGGACTACTGGCACTGCTAGCAACACGACGGCTACCTCCACCCAACCTCCCTTCTACTGCCGCACCCCCCATTCACACACCCCCTGCTGCACCCCTAGGTTCACTCACACTCCACCCCCTAGCACCACTCCGTCGACTCACACACACCCACCCCCCTCAGCGGCAGCTGCAGCAGTGGGAGACGGAGTAGGAGGAGGAGCAGGAGATGCCACACACCCGCCACCCCCATACCCTCCCCCACTGCTGCACCTGCAACAGGGGATGGAGGAGAAGGGGGGGGGGAGGGGGGTGCTGTGCATGGCGCATGCAGAGGGCAGCAGGGCGCACGGGGCGCACAGGGCAGCAGGGCGCGCGGGGCAGCAGCAGGGCTGGCGGGTTGGCCACACCCGCCACCCCCATACCCTCCCCCACTGCTGCACCCGCAGCAGAGAGATGGGGGGGGGGGGGTGGGGGGGTTGGCAGATCCCCTCCCCCCACTGCTGCACCCGCAGCAGGGGGAGGGAGTGGAGAAAAGGGCGGAGAGGAGGGGGTCCAGGGGCGGCTGCTCCAGGGGCCAGGGGCCAGGGGCGGCTGCTGAGGTCCAGGAGCGGCTGCACCAGGGGCGGCTGCTCCAGGGGCGGCTGCTCCAGGGGCGGCTGCACCAGGGGCGGCTGCACCAGGGGCGGCTGCTCCAGGGGCTGCTGCACCAGGGGCGGCTGCTCCAGGGGCGGCTGCACCAGGGGCGGCTGCACCAGGGGCGGCTGCTCCAGGGGCGGCTGCACCTGGGGCGGCTGCTCCGACGCACGGCCCCCCCCGCCAGGTCGCCCCTCCCGTCGCCTGTTGAGGCGACCTGAGGGGGGGGGGGGGGGGGGGGTGCGGGGGGGGCAGGCAGGTGCTGCAGGTCCCCTCCCCCCACTGCCGCATCCGCTCCAGGGGGATGGCAGATCCCCTCCCCCCCACTGCTGCACCCGCAGCAGGGGGAGGGAGAGGAGAAAAGGGCGGAGAGGAGGGGGGTCCAGGGGCGGCTGCTCCAGGGGCGGCTGCACCAGGGGCGGCTGCACCAGGGGCGGCTGATCCAGGGGCTGCTGCACCAGGGGCGGCTGCTCCAGGGGCGGCTGCACCAGGGGTGGCTGCACCAGGGGCGGCTGCTCCAGGGGCGGCTGCACCAGAGGCGGGTGCTCCGACGCACGCCCCCCCCCTCCAGGTCGCCCCTCCCGTCGCCTGTGGAGGCGACCTGAGGTGGGGGGGGGGGGGGGGGGGGGGGGGAGTACGGGGACGCGCGGCCTCCCAGGGCGCCAGAGCAGGCGGAAGAAGGGGCGACGCGCGCCCC